GCTAATTCCAGGTCTTTCTGAAGCTCTCCACAAGTGGTCCTTGGCTCTTGGACAACTCTTCTGATAATTCTTTTCTGTCTGTGAGGCTGACACTCTGTCTACTTTTAAGATTAGACTGAAGACTTTCCTTTTTGTTAAATCCTATAGTTAGACTTMGGTTTCCTGAATTATTCTTCATTTCTGCTACTATAGACCTTGACTGCTGGAGCACAAACTGAGCACATTTCCTCACTCTGCTGTTGTCTTTAGTTTCTCTCCCCTACATGTTTATTTCTATCTATAACATGTTTTCATTGTCTCTTTTCCAGAGGAAAATACTCCTGGACCAGTTCTTCTGTGTTTGTCTGTGTCTCTTTCCCGTCCTCCAACCCAGCTGTCCTGAGCCTGGATCTGGTTCTGGTTCTGCTGGAGGGTTCTTCCTGTTAAAGGCAGTTTTTCCTCTCCACTGTCACCATGCTACTCAGGATGGAGACTGATGAAGTGATTCAACACATCCTGCTACTTCTATAGACAGATAACTTTTATTAATTGTTTTTTATCATGTGGATGTTTTGTACAGACCTGAGATGACATTTCACAAATTGAACTGAAACTGAAGAATGCTTTAAAGGGAATGAAATGCTCCACTAGCAGCAGCTAAAAGTCTGCTAACTATTGCACATCTCAGCAGTCTGGTTTCTTCTGAAAGTGAGGTGTTTGTTTAAAAAACAGCACCAAAAATGTTGCTTTGAGGAAGATGAGGAGAGAAAGGAGTCTCGTGTGATGAAATGAGAAACATTTCCAAATGTAATKTTCTGTACAGATAACCTGAAGGAGAGGAACGTGGTACAACACATAAAGTATGAGATATCACGCCCCTGCATGTCCTGGCTGAACATAATCACACCTTCTGTCAAACCACACTTCAGCAGCTGCTCTTCATCCAGCTCAGCTGTGCAGCTGTGCCTTTCCTCTCCTTCAGGGAACAGTAGTTATATGCAGAACTTTAGGTTCCCTTTCAGGTGATTTCCCCAGAACACATGATGTATGGGACACATATAAACACCCACAGAGCAGTATCAAAGCTGCAGTGGAGACCCAACCTCCTCTGAAAAGGGGTTGATAAAAACTTGATAAGTCAACAGTCATAGAGCTGGAGTTAGAAAGTCTGACTTTAGAGTGATACGCTGTGATTAGATGCAAAATGATGTCTCTATCAGTATCTTCATTTTGAAACAGTTCAATCTGTCTTTAATGAAAGGTTGTGTACCATAAAGTTTTCAGGTCTGCACAGGGCCGGTCCTAGACAATTTGGCACCTTAGTCAAGATTTCAGGAGGGACCCCTTGTGCAATTTCTTAACTCTTACTGTCAATTTAAATACAGTCACATACCAAAATTAGCACTTTTGTCTTTAATATGATTTAATCTTTAGGAACCAGGTTCCATGAATCCATCAGTTATCTTACTCTGATGGTCTCGGGGGCAGCAGCTCAGGGAGGACTGGATCTCTCTTTCCCCAGCCTCCTTTTCCAGCTCTTCTGGGAGGACTCAAGGTGTTCCCAGGCCAATCAAGAGACGTAGTCTGTCCAGCGTGTCCTGGGTCTTCCTCTGGGTCTCCTCCCAGTAAAACATGCCTGAAGACCTCCCTCCACCAGCTCCTCTTCACCACAACAGACCAGTACAGAGTGCACAAAACTGCAGAAGCTGCACCAATCCATCTATCAGTCTCACGCTCCATTCTTCCCTCACTGTGAACAAGACCCCAAGATACTTGAACTCCTACACTTGAGGCAGAACTTCACTCCCAACCCAGAGAGARCAATCCAGCCTTCTCCGACTGAGGGCCATGGACTCAGGTTTAGAGGTGCTGATCCTCATCCCAGCTGCTTCACACTGTGAACCACCACCATATAAAAGATAGTTTTTATAACAAAGCAGCTGAGAAACTCACATAAAAGTGGGTTAACTGGGTGGGTAAAAGTGGGTTTATTAACTATTAATAAA